AGTTCATTGTTTACCTATCTGTTATCTATCTAAATAGTATTTGTACAAAAAGTGTAGAAACATTATTCTGCAAACAAAATTTTCAAATTCTAATAGCTGTTAAAGATAGAGAGTATCAAAGTTGAATTCCTAATTGTTTAAAGCTGATATTGGAGCCTTTGTTTCGTCTCTATTTCCAAACTAATAAATTTATAAACTTCAAAATTTCAGAAAATATTTATAAAAAGTGTAGAAACATTATTCTGCAAACAAAATTCTCAAATTCTAACATCTGTTAAATATAGAGAGTATCAAAGTTGAATTCCTACTTGTTTAAAGTTGATATTGGAGCCTTAGTTTCGTCCCTGTTTCTAAACTAATAGATTTTAAAACTTTAAAATTTCAGAAAATATTTATAAAAAGTGTAGAAACATTATTCTGCAAACAAAATTTTCAAATTCTAATAGCTGTTGAAGATAGAGAGTATCAAAGTTAAATTTCTATTTGTTACAGTTGATATTGGAGCCTTAGTTTCGTCCCTATTTCTAAACTAATAGATTTTTAAACTTTAAAATTTCAGAAAATATTTATAAAAAGTGTAGAAACATTATTCTGCAAACAAAATTCTCAAATTCTAACAGCTGTTAAAGATAGAGAGTATCAAAGTTGAATTCCTATTTGTTACAGTTGATATTGGAGCCTTTGTTTCATCCCTATTTCCAAACTAATAAATTTATAAACTTCAAAATTTCAGAAAATATTTATAAAAAGTGTAGAAACATTATTCTGGAAACAAAATTCTCAAATTCTAACAGCTGTTGAAGATAAGAGAGTATCAAAGTTGAATTCCTACTTGTTTAAAGTTGATATTGGAGCCTTTGTTTCATCCATATTTCCAAAATAATAGATTTATAAACTTCAAAATTTCAGAAAATATTTATAAAAAGTGTAGAAACATTATTCTGCAAACAAAATTTTCAAATTCTAACAGCTGTTGAAGATAGAGAGTATCAAAGTTAAATTGCTATTTGTTACAGTTGATATTGGAGCCTTAGTTTCGTCCCTATTTCTAAACTAATAAATTTTTAAACTTCAAAATTTCAGAAAATATTTATAAAAAGTATAGAAACATTATTCTGCACACAAAATTCTCAAATTCTAACATCTGTTAAATATAGAGAGTATCAAAGTTGAATTCCTACTTGTTTAAAGTTGATATTGGAGCCTTAGTTTCGTCCCTGTTTCTAAACTAATAGATTTTAAAACTTTAAAATTTCAGAAAATATTTATAAAAAGTGTAGAAACATTATTCTGCAAACAAAATTTTCAAATTCTAATAGCTGTTGAAGATAGAGAGTATCAAAGTTAAATTTCTATTTGTTACAGTTGATATTGGAGCCTTAGTTTCGTCCCTATTTCTAAACTAATAGATTTTTAAACTTTAAAATTTCAGAAAATATTTATAAAAAGTGTAGAAACATTATTCTGCAAACAAAATTCTCAAATTCTAACAGCTGTTAAAGATAGAGAGTATCAAAGTTGAATTCCTATTTGTTACAGTTGATATTGGAGCCTTTGTTTCATCCCTATTTCCAAACTAATAAATTTATAAACTTCAAAATTTCAGAAAATATTTATAAAAAGTGTAGAAACATTATTCTGGAAACAAAATTCTCAAATTCTAACAGCTGTTGAAGATAAGAGAGTATCAAAGTTGAATTCCTACTTGTTTAAAGTTGATATTGGAGCCTTTGTTTCATCCATATTTCCAAAATAATAGATTTATAAACTTCAAAATTTCAGAAAATATTTATAAAAAGTGTAGAAACATTATTCTGCAAACAAAATTTTCAAATTCTAACAGCTGTTGAAGATAGAGAGTATCAAAGTTAAATTGCTATTTGTTACAGTTGATATTGGAGCCTTAGTTTCGTCCCTATTTCTAAACTAATAAATTTATAAACTTCAAAATTTCAGAAAATATTTATAAAAAGTGTAGAAACATTATTCTGGAAACAAAATTCTCAAATTCTAACAGCTGTTGAAGATAGAGAGTATCAAAGTTAAATTTCTATTTGTTACAGTTGATATTGGAGCCTTAGTTTCGTCCCTATTTCTAAACTAATAAATTTATAAACTTCAAAATTTCAGAAAATATTTATAAAAAATGTAGAAACATTATTCTGGAAACAAAATTCTCAAATTCTAACAGCTGTTGAAGATAGAGAGTATCAAAGTTGAATTCCTACTTGTTTAAAGTTGATATTGGAGCCTTTGTTTCATCCATATTTCCAAAATAATAGATTTATAAACTTCAAAATTTCAGAAAATATTTATAAAAAGTGTAGAAACATTATTCTGCAAACAAAATTTTCAAATTCTAACAGCTGTTGAAGATAGAGAGTATCAAAGTTAAATTTCTATTTGTTACAGTTGATATTGGAGCCTTAGATTCGTCCCTATTTCTAAACTAATAGATTTTTAAGCTTTAAAATTTCAGAAAATATTTATAAAAAGTATAGAAACATTATTCTGCACACAAAATTCTAACATCTGTTAAATATAGAGAGTATCAAAGTTGAATTCCTACTTGTTTAAAGTTGATATTGGAGCCTTTGTTTCATCCATATTTCCAAACTAATAGATTTATAAACTTTAAAATTTCAGAAAATATTTATAAAAAGTGTAGAAACATTATTCTGCAAACAAAATTCTCAAATTCTAACAGCTGTTGAAGATAGAGAGTATCAAAGTTAAATTTCTATTTGTTACAGTTGATATTGGAGCCTTAGTTTCGTCCCTATTTCTAAACTAATAAATTTATAAACTTCAAAATTTCAGAAAATATTTATAAAAAGTGTAGAAACATTATTCTGGAAACAAAATTCTCAAATTCTAACAGCTGTTGAAGATAGAGAGTATCAAAGTTGAATTCCTACTTGTTTAAAGTTGATATTGGAGCCTTTGTTTCATCCATATTTCCAAAATAATAGATTTATAAACTTCAAAATTTCAGAAAATATTTATAAAAAGTGTAGAAACATTATTCTGAAAACAAAATTCTCAAATTCTAACAGCTGTTAAAGATAGAGACTATCAATTACTTTTTTATGATATCCTGATTGATTTAAGAATTTAAATCAACAAACAATGGTCCAAAAATGTTTCATCATGAAAAGATTTGGTATAAAAACAGGAAATGAATTAATATAGTACTTAAAAACTAATAGGTTGCATAGAAAGTGTAGTTAAGTAGATTTTTATGAACTATAACTAATTTTTACTTACCTATGAAATATAGCAATATTTACTACACTGGGCCATTGTTCTCTAATTTCTATACAAATTTTCTCCATAGATTTAATTCCCATTGATTCGTATGCTTCATACTCTAATCTATCTACTTGTTTTCCTTCAAAATTGTCTCTTGTCGTTCCAATGAATAGGGAAATAGCACCACAAGAATCTGAGCTTACCGAATTAGTGATAACTTCAACACACAATTTTTCATGAGTTAGTTTTAAATGATTCATTTTGTTTATCCACCGCTTAGAGGAGGTATAACTGCTAGTTCATCGCCTGGTTTCAAAGTTAGAATTTGATCTCCTGGTTCCAAAAAATCTTGGTTAATTGATAGAATAATTTGATTTCGTAATTGATTTAAAGAATAATGGTTAACAATTATTTCTAAAAGATTTTTATGCGTAATAGGTGTTTCTACTTCTAAATAATCAACACTTTTACCAAAAATTTCTCTTGCTTTTGCAAAAAATAAAATTTTTACGTTCACTGTACCACTCATAACTCATAACGAAACAACTTTGTACCACTAACGTAAGCTAATTATTTCAATGCAATACACTTAGATTATTTATCATTTAGTTTTATCACTGATATCTTTATCTATTTATTAAATTTCAAAACGTAAATATTAATATTTCATACTTTTATAACTTTAACCTTTTCACGTGACATTTGGGAAACAGCGTGTTCCATGTCCCAAAACTGACACGTTACCACAGAACACTTACTCTTACGTTCAATGATATATATTTTCTATAGACTGCTTTTCCATATATAAAGCCGACGAAAAGTGGGTCATATTTAACTTAGAACATTTATACAAATTGTATGGATGGAACAATATTTTCAGAAGTGGTGTAGCTCGGTGCTACACTGTCGATGCAAAGGAAAAGACCTAGGGTGAGATTACAGAACGTCTGCAACTTTGCATCTGCAACTTTGCAAATATGGCGGACTTACAAATGTAAGTATTCCAAAAAATATCTGCAAATTCGCAATATTTACTGTGGTTTATTACCCCCAACAGCACTAAACCCAAATTTGGAATACGAAAACTTGATACTTGCATGTGTAAGTCAGTCATATTTGCAGATTTTCAAAGTTGCCGCCATATTTGCAGATCTGCAAAGTTGCAGACGTTCTGTAATCTCACCCCATGTGTTCTTTCGTTCGCTGTTGGTGCCAGTGTCCACCAGTGTAAGTTACACCACCTAATTTACTTCCTTATACACATGTCGAGTGCAATTTACTCCTGCTAAATAGCTAGTGGAGAAAATATCCACCAGTGGACACCACATCATCTACAGGAAGATATAAGGTTCTTTCGTTCGTCCCACTGGTGTAGTTGGGTGTAGTAATGAATTACACCAACCCACACCTATACCTTTCGTTTGGTCCGGTGTAAAACCCACTATACCTTCCTGTCGGCGATGTGGTGTACACTGGTGGATATTTTCTCCACCAGCTATTTAGCAGGAGTGAATTACACTCGACGATGTGTATAAGGAATAAGGAGGAAGTAAATTAGGGTAAATAAGGTGGTGTAATTTACACTGGTGGACACTACACCAATAGCGAACGAAAGAGCCTATAGTGGGTTTTACGCCGGGTCAAACGAAAGGTTTAGTGTCCGTTGGTGTAGTTCGTTCCTACACCAGTGGGACGAACGAAGGAACCTATATATTCTAAGATAAATACGGACCTACGTGGTTTGTGAGTGTACCCTAGATTAATTTGATTCGAATTTCTAAACAAGAGTAGCTAAATGTCCAAATTGAACGAATGAAGACCAAATTGATCACACTCTCTTGATCGGAGCGAACTTTCTGAACACACTCTTGGCTAATCCGAACGCTACTCGTTCCCCGTATCTTTTGTCAGCTGTCAGTCAATCGAAGTGACACTGACACGAGAGCAAGTGACGTCTGTACATGACGTGGAAGTTCAAAACTCAAAACTATTAGGTAAATATTTTAAATATCTCCTGTATACCTGTTAGAAACGAATTTTATAAACATTTTTCGTACATGATATTAAATCTAGTTATGAAGTGAGCGATAAATTCAGAAAAAATGAGCACGTACGAAGAATACATTCAACAAAATGAAGACCGAGATGGAATCAGGTTTACTTGGAATGTATGGCCATCGAGTAGGATAGAAGCAACTCGTTTGGTAGTACCATTAGCGTGTCTTTATCAACCGATTAAAGAACGTTTAGATCTTCCACCCATACAGTATGATCCCGTTCTGTGTACAAGAAATAACTGCAGAGCGATTTTAAATCCTATGTGCCAAGTTGATTATCGAGCAAAATTGTGGGTTTGCAATTTTTGTTTTCAACGCAATCCGGTAAGTGTAATATATTTTTAGATAATTTGAAGTTATTTGTAATATTTTTTAAGTTTCCACCTCAATATGCAGCTATTTCTGAACAGCATCAACCTGCTGAGTTAATGCCTATGTTTTCAACTATTGAGTATACTATTACTAGAGCTCAGTGTTTACCACCGATATTCTTGTATGTTGTTGATACTTGCATGGATGAGGAAGAATTGGGTTCACTTAAAGATTCTTTACAAATGTCACTCAGTTTATTGCCTCCGAATGCTTTAATTGGTTTGATTACATTTGGAAAAATGGTCCAAGTTCATGAATTAGGTAAATTTGTTTATTCTCCTACAATTATCTGAGTGTTATTTAAATAGTTACCTATTTATAGGTACTGAGGGTTGCAGTAAATCATACGTCTTTAGAGGTACTAAAGATTTAACAGCTAAGCAAGTTCAAGAGATGTTGGGTATTGGTAAAGTTGCTATGGGGCCTCAACAACAACCAGGTCAACCTAGACCTGGTCAAATGCAACCTGCACCTATCGCGCCAGGTAGCAGGTACCTTAAAAGTTCTATATTAAAAAAAATTGGTTATATCTTTTATAAATACATTTTAGATTCCTACAGCCTGTATCTAAATGCGATATGAATTTAACTGATTTAATAGGAGAGCAGCAAAAAGATCCCTGGCCTGTTCATCAGGGAAAGAGATCTCTTAGATGTACCGGTGTTGCTTTATCTATAGCTATTGGTTTGTTGGAGAGCACTTATCCCAATACAGGAGCTAGAGTTATGCTTTTTGTTGGAGGACCGTGCTCTCAAGGGCCTGGTCAGGTTTTGAATGATGATTTAAAACAACCTATTAGGTAAAATACAATTTTGTTATGTTTTTCTCAATTAGAACTTATAATATATCAATTGTGCCCCCCTAGCCTAATAAAATCTTTCTTATTTTCATTTATATTAACTGTACTGCATATTCTGTCTGTTTATTTACATGAATAGTAATTTTAAATGCATTATAATAAAATTCTTGTAATTCTTTTTACAGGAAAATGATTTGTTGAAAGGTTTATAATGTGTGAATTATTTTGATTGTAGATCTCATCATGATATTCAAAAAGATAATGCAAAGTATATGAAAAAAGGTATAAAGCATTATGATGCTTTGGCTATGAGAGCAGCAACTAATGGGCATTGTGTTGATATTTATTCTTGTGCTTTGGATCAGACTGGTTTGATGGAGATGAAACAGTGCTGCAATTCTACAGGGTATGTTATTATAGTATAAATATTAATATTAAACATGTATGAATAAATTTATATACAAAGGAAAAAATTTTATGTGTTCTACAAATGATTTAGTTATTACAAGCTTTTTCAGGTTATTTTGTACAATCTAATGTATTATTTCTATAAATATTTAGATGATGAATTAATAGATATATTTTCTACACACACCTTACTCAAAACATTTTCTTTTTTTTTAAATAAATTAATTGAAAATACTGAAAAATTAAAATTTTGTCTTATTTTTTCAAATATCTTAACAATAGTGCATTTTAGTTATGTTTAAGACAAGAATTATAGAAAATGATGTAACAAACAAGTTTTATTTGAACAATTTTTTTGAAAAATTATTTTTTTTTAGTTTTTGTCAAATTTTTCGAATACGGTTCATTTTAGGAAAATTTTGTATATAATAAAAATTGTAGAGAATAATATTATAAGCAACTTTTATTTGAAGAATTTTTTTCTCCAATCATAAATAACAGATATATTGCATAAAATAGAAAAACGACCCCCCATAAAGTACCTCCCCAAATGTTCCGACTATGCCCAAAATTTAAACAGTTCTCCACAGAATGGAATAAAGTTTAAATTTAAAATTTGATGTTTTTTTCTTAATTCATTTTCGAGTTATCTTAAAAATTCGAAATTTGCACTTTTTCTCAAATATCTCGAATACGGTCCATTTTAGGAAAATTTTGTAAAGAATAAAAATTATAGAGAATAATTTTATAAGCAACTTTTATTTGAAGAATTTTCTTCTCCAAGCATAAATAACAGATATATTCTATAAAATAAGAAAACGACCCCCTATAAAGTACCTCCCCAGATATTCCGACTATGTCTAAAATTTAATCAGTTTACTACAAGATGAATTAAAGCTTAAATTTGAAATTTGGTATTTTTCTCTTTATTCATTTTTGAGTTATCTTAAAAATTCAAAATTTACATTTTTCTCAAATATCTCGAATACGGTCCATTTTAGGAAAATTTTGTGTAGAACAAAAATTATGGAGAATAATATTATAAGTAACTTTTATTTGAAGCATTTTTTTCTCCAAGCATAAATAACAGATATATTGCATAAAATAGAAAAACGACCCCCCATAAAGTACCTGCCCAAATGTTCCGACTATGCCCAAAATTTAAACAGTTCACCGCAGGATGGATTAAAGCTTAAATTTAAAATTTGGTGTTTTTTTCTTAATTCATTTTTCGAGTTATCTTAAAAATTCGAAATTTGCACTTTTTCTTAAATATCTCGAATACGGTCCATTTTAGGAAAATTTTGTAAAGAATAAAAATTATAGAGAATAAAATTATAAGCAACTTTTATTTAAAGAATTTTCTTCTCCAAGCATAAATAACAGATATATTCTATAAAATAAGAAAACGACCCCCTATAAAGTACCTCCCCAGATATTCCGACTATGTCTAAAATTTAATCAGTTTACTACAAGATGAATTAAAGCTTAAATTTGAAATTTGGTATTTTTCTCTTTATTCATTTTTGAGTTATCTTAAAAATTCAAAATTTACATTTTTCTCAAATATCTCGAATACGGTCCATTTTAGGAAAATTTTGTGTAGAACAAAAATTATGGAGAATAATATTATAAGTAACTTTTATTTGAAGCATTTTTTTCTCCAAGCATAAATAACAGATATATTGCATACAATAGAAAAACGACCCCCCATAAAGTACCTGCCCAAATGTTCCGACTATGCCCAAAATTTAAACAGTTCACCGCAGGATGGATTAAAGCTTAAATTTAAAATTTGGTGTTTTTTTCTTAATTCATTTTTCGAGTTATCTTAAAAATTCGAAATTTGCACTTTTTCTTAAATATCTCGAATACGGTCCATTTTAGGAAAATTTTGTATAGAACGAAAATTATAGAGAATAATTTTATAAGCAACTTTTATTTAAAGAATTTTCTTCTCCAAGCATAAATAACAGATACATTCCATAAAATATAAAAATGATCCCCTATAAAGTACCTCCCTAGATGTTCCGACTATGTCCAAAATTTAAGCAGTTTATAACAGGATGAATTAAAGCTTAAATTTAAAATTTGGTGTTTCTCTCTTTATCCGTTTTTGAGTTATTTTTAAAATTTGAAATTTTCACATTCTCTCAAATATCTCAAATACGGTCCATTTTAAAAAAATATTTATAAGACAAGAATTA